CCATCGCTCTTCGGTTGGAGGCCATCGCTCTTGGGTTGGAGGCTATCGCTCTTGGGTCGGAGGCCATCGCTCTTGGGTTGGAGGCCATCGCTCTTGGGTTGGAGGCCATCACTCTTCTGTGGAGCGGACTTGGGGATGCAACTTTCTCGGGGAACAAATGGGAACGGGGTTGAAGAGGCTCTGTCTGCTTGACACAGGTTACATCAGAAACGTCGTGTCGAAGGGGGTTTCCTTGCCACGGTCACGGCAATTCTACGGGCCAACTTCAGATACTTCCTCGAGGAATCGTGGGCACATTGTTGGGCTCAACCGGCTGTGAGCGTTTTGCACTTGGACGGGGTGGCTAGCCAGCTCTGCGAATTCACAAATGTTCGGCGGGGCCTCTTAGATGTTGGACTTTGCGTTGTGACCCTTAGTGTGTGGCTTGGGTTTTGGGGCTGTCCTGGCCGGCCGTGAACGCCTGAAATCTGTCACCGGTCAGCGGCACATCCGTGTGACTGTCTTTGGGTCGCCAGATGTAGTCCTATACAAACTAAGTTTCATTTGGGCTGAAGTCACCCTGCTTGTCTCCACAAAGACAAAGAGTACACGAGTCTTTGGTGTCCTTCCTGTGCAAATGTGTGTTACTATTTGAGGTTTGCCTTCGCGTTGCTTTCGTTGATGGGGCTACCTCCCCCGTTCTCGTTCGTTTCGGTTTCCTACTCTGACTCTGTCTTACGCACACGTGAGCCACCTAAGTTCACCTACGACTTACGACAATGGCCCAAAAATCCAATGGCAGCATGAAACAATGGGCCAAATACAATTCACCTGCAGGACCTTTCATGAGTCACTCATGGTGCGAGTGACACTCGCCTTCGGCATCGAAAACCACGGGTCTGCACCCAGTCGGTTGGCGAGCTCCACCATGTACTCAACGCAAACGCCACCGAGCCCTCACAGGTCACATCGCACACATCGGCTCCGCAAAACGATGGAAAACACTTTCTGACCGGTAAAATCCACTAACGTGCGACATCATGCGACAAGCTGGTTCGCTGTGCGATCGCTTCTGACTGGCCTGCTTGGGTCTGATCTGTTGGTAAAGTTCTGTTGTCCCAATTGCGTGTCAAAGATCCATCATGATCCCACATGTCCTTTCCAAAGTCAAGAGATATCGAATCCAAAGCTGCTTTTATCTGAGTTCACATCAAGATCGAGCGTCGACCATCTGCCAGCTGGAGAAGCGTAGAACGCTTGTCCCGTTTAGCTTCTGTAAGAAGTGTGGATGAAAGATCTGTGTGACATTGCCAGCGTAGGCAACCTTGAGTGATAAGAACTAGTCGAAACTCAGTCACTCAGTGCCTGCGCTGCACCCTTCCATGTCATATCCCGTCATGCCAAGTGTCTGGAATTAAAGTCAAAGCGTGCAGTGGATCAGCCTCATCAGTTTCAATGATCCGCACTATGATTCCTCAGCAAGTTCCCGTCGTGAAAGACAAAGACAACAAAAGACGTCGAAAAGTGCTGAAAGAGGCTCCACTTTTCGGTCGGACAAGTACTCTTGCAGCGCTGTCCTGATAAAACATGTTTTTTGTTCAGTTACCAACTGACAACACTGCCAAAACATGTTTTTCTACACAAACACATCCTCCATTTGTAGGAGTGATGCATCGCCTTCCCAAGAGACATTGCCTCTGCCCTCCCAAGTGGCAACCTGAGAGCGAAACAATGCTGCACAGCCAAGCTACTTGAAGCCAAGGCATAGATTTCAGAACATGTTTCTTCAGCAGTGTCACGACGAACTGTTCCAGCTCGACAGCTTTCTCAGGATCCTACGTACTCGCCATCTTCAATAAATGCGCCACCCGCACCAATGGTGGCTTTCACTGAGCTCTGTCTGAGACTTCCTAAGAACGAGAACTGACAAAGCACTCGCCACGTCTCGCAATGACAAGATTCGAATGGCGAGACGTGGCGAGACGATGCCAAGGGGCCCCACATGGTAAACTGTGGCAGGCTTTCAGGATATCCATCTCTGCGGAAGCTGATGGTAAAGTTCTGTCGAAGTCGCAAAACACTCAAACACACACTGCAATACATTTGATGACGAAAGGCACATCACATCCAGTTTCAAGTCCGGTAGAAGCAGTTTGGTGTCCTCGGGCCAATTGTAGTGCACCCAGCTCGAATCATCCCCAATGATACCGTTTTCAACGCCATCTTCAAAGGGAGTGCTGTGCTTCATCAAATCGATGAATTCACCTGAGGGTGGGAACTGCATGCTTGTTAGCTACTCGCTTAAACATGGTTGCCTTTTAGTTCAAATGAACCCCCAAGGTACCACAGCAACAAAACAAGGCTGTCTGTCTGAGGAATCAACGGGTTGCCGTGAGCGGAAACTCTTCATCAGTGAGAGGATGCCTTGTTAGCCCTGATAGGAATGTTCCAACACCTTATTGCAATTCCAGGTTTCATGTGAATGAATTTATTTGTGTGACACAAAATTCCATAAACTCAAAAGAATACTAGTACATGATGGATGATGCTGACAACCGAAGCTTCGTACAGAAAAAAACACCGTTGAAAAAGCGCAGTTCACACCCATCCGTGCTTTGCTTCCCTATCTTCATGTCTCTACTTCTTAGTTGTCTTTGCTTTGCTCTCTGCTTCGTCTCCAGCTTTTGCAGCACGTCCCCACTTTGAACTACTTTTCTGCACCCCAGTGCAACCCTCATTTGTGGGCAATCCCTTGTTCTTTAAGATGCATATGGCTGACCAAAAAGTCCATGCATTTCACAAAAGCTTTCGCAATTACTTTCACTACGTTCGCAACAGCAAATCCAAATGTCGTTGTCGTGAAGCTTTCTCAAGGCGGGCCAATACATCAAATTCCTTTTTCAAGGGTTTTTATGGTGTTGCTCACTGGTCGCAGCGACCCGAACAGCCTCCAAATGCGATGTCACATCTCTACGTGGATCTTGAAGAAAGTAATATTATTATTTAGTTATAATCAATTGTATATATATATATGTAGGAATTGAATTTAGACAGTACATTTATATTGAAAACCATCTATAATCTATACAATTATCAATAAAGCCAAGCAATGTACAGAATAAGTTGATTATTGAAATAAGATTATATAGTAATTTGCAGCTTCCTCAAGATGAAGCCTACGAACCACAGTCAACCCCGGCTAAGCAAAACGTTAAACCAGGAATTGGTGCGAAATAACAACCACTCAACATGCAAAACAAGCATAAATAAGTTGCGTCTACATACCATTAAAGCCAAGATGCGAAGATTGTCATGAATCCTCTTCGGCGCTGCATTGACCAAAGGCGCAACCTGAGGTGGTGGCGTGGAATGTTTCCTCATTGCACTAGAAAACCTTTATCCTTGAAATTTTGGTATGTACCTGAACTTTCCTTTCCACCTTGAAATTTGTTGCTTGAACACACGAGCTTCAGCAGTTTAGGCTCCAATCTGCATTGCGCCGAGCTTCAATGAACCACGAGACCAGGATGGCCATCTCAAACTTAACATGTGTTTGAAGTTTAGAATTGGTTGACAAATTGGCTGTCGGACATTGTACAAATCGCACCACTTTACCTTGGGGAATAGCCAAGATTCTGAGCTTCGCATGTGACACCTTTGGACAGCAACAAAAGCGTCCGGAATGTAACGTGTCAATGTAAACAAAGTACATGAGCCAAGCTAGGAGCTCACGGTTGCATGCAATCAGAACTAGGCAAACGCAAGTGAACGTTCTTGCTTAAATATTAAAGCACCAAACTTGTTAATTTTTGCGAGTGAAAGCGCAGCTCACACTTGGGAGATCGCCATCTTGCAATCTTTGTCAGCCAATGCCGCCCACAAGTGGTCGTATGGTGACAAACAAATATTGTCCCCAGTTGGGTTTCCGGATGCCTTTTATATATTTTTTAATATTTCAATTGGTTTCTGTTTGGTCTTCGAACCCAACCCCGGCGCTCAAGTCTCGTGACACTAGTGCGCTGCAACTCGCTCGAACGTTTGGCAATCCTTTTCAAGGCCACTTGAAAAGAGCTATTGGCTAAGAACTTTAACTTGTTTTCTCGGAACAAACACACATTCTCATCACCTCTGTGCCCATTTCTGTGCCAAATTCGCAAGCTGCTTCTCTCTCCTCTCACTCGACTGCGGATTGATCCTCAAAGCATCATTGGCCTAGCAGTTGCAACCCTGCTTGTGTACTTAAGCCAGTTTGTGTGGCATGTAAGCACGACTCAAAAACAAACGACTGTGCTGTGTCGCCATGCAATGAGTCGGCAACTTATTGGAATGTGTTGCTCGGCTTCGGTTGCAAACAACGTGTAGTCCTGGTTCAAACAATAAGGAAATTTCATTGCAATCAGGGTCTCAGATTGAATCAGGGTCTCAAAGCCGATGGTGTTTCAGTGCATGACTGACACACGAGGATGATGGCCACTGGGGTCTCAAAGTCAATGGTGTTTCAGGCTTTCAGGTAATAAGTGCATGTCTCAAAGCTGATGGTGTTTCAGTTAGTGCATGACTGAGATGCAAGGATGATGGTCGTGAGATGCCAGGATGATGGTGAGTATGCAAAGGTGATTGTGACTGTACCTGAATATCGGAATTGATAGTCAATCACACTTGGGAAGACAAAAAGCACAGATGCACACACACACACACACACGCACGTGCGCCCGACACTTTTCAGGTTCGATGTTTGGATGACGGATGTTTCGACGACGGCTTACAAGTTGATTGTCATGTTTTGCGCAGCAGGCTTACGGGGCCAAGAAGTTGTCAGCGTACTATTACCTTTTATATAATAAGTCCAATTAAGGCTTAGAAGGCTTAGCTTCACGTTGCGAGTTTCTTTGGTGGCCCCGCTGCACGCCGTCCGAAGCCTCTTTTTGGTTGGGGCCAGTTTTCTTTGTTGCTTTGGGGCATGCCATCTGCGTGTGCCATCGAAGCATTGAGTGGGTTTGACACTCAGAACTCATTTGATTTAAAAGATTATCACCAAGCAGGGTCCATACGGGTCCATTTTACATGGCATGCCCAGGTCTGAAAGCCAGGGTTCTGATGCAGAGAAGGGACCCGTCAGAAAGAAGTTGAAGGCACGCTGCACACCGACCACAAATTCATCCCCATTGTGTTGAAATGCCTTTGCCACGCTTCAGGCCACTTGCAGGATGAAAAACTCAGCTGTGAGGCGAGTGAAGAAACGCCTCTTGAAGCCCCGACAGCGGGCTCAGGACTCTGAGTCTGGATATGTATCTAGTTCTTTTCGTTGCCCTGTTCCCAGTAAGCCTTTGCCCGCTAATGCTGCAGCTTGTGTGACACCGGGTGGTCGGATCGGAGTGATTGCCTACAAACTGCGGCTTCCACATGTTCCAGCTCTTGAATGGAAATGTGTTTGCCACTCAGTTTTTAGATGAAACGTTTTGTTGAAAGTGTGTTTGACAACTGCTGTGGTCAATGGTAAATGATTCCAAGGGTCCAAGGTTGTGGGAGGAAACCGGATTCACCTTGAATTTTCCGAGCTTAGGTCCACCGCACCACCAAGAAGGCCAAGAACAACGGCGTGAAAATCTTCAGGGGAACAAAGATCTTTAGATCTTTTTCTTGCATCAGCGAACCCCTCAGTTGAAACTGTTGAATCAATGAGTTGGGCTCAAACCTGAGACGCGTTCAAAACAACCTAAGGAGTGTTTTCTGGGACAACAACAGCTGCCAAGAAGGATGTTTCAACTCGAGGGATCACGGCTCGGCCCCCAGTCCAAGAACCACCAGCAGTCTGACGCTTACACGAAGTACCTTTGGCCTGAGGATTTCGCAAATCAAGTGAAATATGGAGTGCAGTATCGTCAAGCCTGTGAAATGGCTGGTCTTCCTGTTGGCCGCTTCGTTACACCTGCAGCTGGGGAATTTGTCTCAGGCATATAATAGCATTCGTTGTTTAGACTGTGACGTTGCTGATATAATTTGAAGGCCTATTTGTCCGTCGTTTCAATTGCAGGACTTCCGAAAGGCTGGACACAGACTGAGAAAAACGCTGTGGACCGTGATCTTTTCCAGCAAGAGTACCCATACTTCAAGACAAAGGCCCTGCTTCATTGCCCGCGTTTGTTTTACTATGTTTTCAACTTTTTCAAGCCAAATCACTTACCTTTATTTCTACCCCTGCGTGGCCAGGATGGAAAGCTTCTATGCGTGTCATTGTTTACAGGGGTTGCAGGCCTCGAGTTGGGCCTGAATCAGTGTGGGCCTTGAAAGTCGCTCTTACTGAGACTGCTTCAAGTTTCAAGTTGTCTAGCTTCAATTTTTGTCTGTGAGCTGCCCACACTTTTCTACTATGTTCTGAGCTCGTTGAGATCAAAGCGTTTGTTCCAATGGCGGGCCGTGAATCCCACCTTGGCTATGTGCGGTGTGTGGGGGTGAACCAAATCAGGACAGAGATAGACAGGTTCAAGTTAACAATAACTTCCAAGTCAGTCAGCAATCAACGCAGTTTATTGCGGAGTTCTCTGGATTGGTGTGTTTTTGTCATTGAGAGGACTTTGAAGGGCGTCCCACTATTCACTCGGTGGGGAGGGCGGCAGCGGCTTTGAAGCAACGATGTCGTTGAAAAACTTGCTTTGTGTTCGGCATTGCGCTGCAGAACTGTGTGTGAGCAGGTTTCATGACAGAGAGTTGGGTTTCTAGCTCGTTTCCAAAATTGGATGAAGTTTTTGACCATCTGAGGTGGCTTTGGTGCTGGGCTTCCAACCAATGGGTGGAAGCTAATATCGCTTTGGAGACGGTGCTTGCCTCTGAGTTCTGAGTCTGAAGTAGTTTGGTTTCAATGGTAGTTTTCAAGTCTTTTTCTGCAGCTGTTGAGGCTGCCACGGGACCCAACTGGACTCCTGCGGATGACCACGAGCTGCGCAATTTGATGTCAAAGGCAGTGCAGGAAAACACTTTAGACAGGATCTATGTCGAAACAAAGTGCAAGATTGACCCATGGAACTGACAGAAGGGTTCCACAGAGTGTCCTCAGTCCACATCAGACGCCAACTTTGGAAGGAAAAAATGTCAGAGTCACGTCAGTACTGATGGTTCATGTTTCACGCTCAGAAAACTGCATCCCCGTATCAGGCGCATTCGTAGGCTTGACCTGTTGAAGTTGCATGAGGTGGGTGCACCCGACAACGTTTGCCCAGAACTCACTCTGTCACCTGTTTGAAATCTTTTTGAATCGTTTATATGAATGATTTGTATGGTATGAGGTCGAGTGTGACGAACGTTGTCAAAGGGTGTTGCGAGCTAGGATGTCAGAAGGATTACTACCGGCCGCAAAGATTGTGTCAGATGTCCGTGGCTTTTCTGCGAAAGGCACTGGTGCAGTTGGTATTACAGCAGGTTTCCCGTGTCAGGCAGGGGTGTTGTTCCAAATTGATGGTTCTGGTGTGGAAGATCTGGTATCGTTTTTACGCGTCGATCAAACCAATCTCATGTTTTAACACGCGTGGCAGGGAACTAGCGGGGCTGGATCCCAGTTGGGTCTGAGCGATGAACGAAGTGGGCTCATCAAGAATGTTTTTGATGTATTTGACACGCTGGATAGCCCGTGTTGTCCTCAGAACTCCTTCGTTTGTGTGACATTTAGATTTACCAAGAAGCCGTGTGACTGATGGTTGATTGGTGATCTGATCTAAGGCTGTTTATCTTGCTCGAGAATGTCTTGGGTCTCTTGAGTTGCCAGAAGGAATGCCGAAAGCTTATCACCTTTGTGATCCTGGTGTCTGGGTGAGTCTGTCCATTTTCCATTTCCTTCTTGGCACATAATTCTTAGGGCTCTGTTGAAGCCCAGGGATGAGCAAGTTTTGAACCTTTCAAATCCAACTTTAAGGCAATCTTTATTTGGCCAGGAGGCAGCCAAACGAGGGTTGAAGATTTTCTGGGCCAGCGCAAAGCTTTTCAACGTCGGCTTTGCTGTTTGGGTCCCAGGTTTTACAGCGCAAATCTGAGCAGGGGTCGTTTGTGATTGGCTGAGGCCAATCGCGGCCGTGTCTTCCTTCTGTGCGCTCGCCCTGGAGCAAACCTTTGGGAGGACATTCCATGGAATGTTCAAAAACAGTTCTTGGATTCCTTAGGCTTGCCAATTGAGTCTTCAAACCGCCTGGTGAGTTTTTCGAACCGCGCGCGGTCATCGTAGATCTTTTTGTATTTTTTGGCAGGAGCATCGTTGTCTTCCATACACAAGCCATTGCGTGACATCATGGAACGCGAGAGCCAAAGTGCCACTTCACAAGTGGTTGTCTCTTCACCAAGCAGAGGATGACAAGGCCCGTTTGACGGCCCTTGGCAACTGTGTAGTGCCTGCGCAGGCCCGCCTTTGTTTTGAAACGTTGCTTGAGCTCCGCAGGGCTGGGGCCAATTTGTAAACAAAAAGCTGCTTGAACTTGTTTGATCTGTTGGTCTTTGTATGTGTTTCCAAGTAGGGGGACTGAATCGTGATGTCCATGGTTTTGTGAAATCATCCTCCTCTCACTCCATGGCCTAGACCTGTTACCAACCTTCATGGTTGGAGGCGCTTCCAATTCACAAATTAGCAGCTAGCAAGTCTTGCGCATAGGAAAGAAAACGTGACTTAATTATCTAACTTTTCGTGCCTGGCATGTGGGCTTTACACAGTGATGTCTAACAGGCCTGACAGTAAACGCTATCTTTGGTTGAAGATTGACCTGCCTTGCTCAAGCCCCATCTTTCAGAATGGGTAAGTCGAGGGCCAAAAAAGCTGCGACTGCAACTGCAGCGACCGGTTCTTCATCAGCTCAATCTACAGGCCCTTGGGAATTCTGTCCGGCGCAAAGGCTATTGTTTTCTTAATTTTCTTGTGGCAGGATGTGGTGCGGAGGTTAACCAGGACTTTCACGTTCTGCCTGGCTCAGCCCTGGAGGCCATTCGTGTGAGTTAGCTTGCTAATTTGGAACAGGTAGTTTTTTAAATATAGGACAGCTAGGAAACCCAGCTCCGGCCGCTAGGTGGTGACACGCAAAGCCAAGACCGAGGAGGACATGATCATTTGCGGGTTTCATCAACTGGAACAAGGCGAGAACGAAACAGCTGTCTTTTATAGACTATAAATTAAGTAGCACAACCCGCAACAAGTTATAACCCCACAAGAATTCGTATTTATGTCATGATTGTGCGCA